GCCGGCTGATCAGGTACCTGAAGTACGAGATCACCCAGTAGCCGAGGCTGTGGACTGTTTCACTAAAGCCTCAGGGTGGCGGCGGCCCCGGATCCTGGCGGAAGGGACCCAGCAATGGACTGAGGCTGTGGGCAGTCTCCCAGCCAGCTGGGACCACCTCTGTGACCTCGCCAGGTCTCTGGGCCAGAGCTTTGCCCGGACCAGAGAACAGAATGTGTCAAGTAGGAGAAAAACCGTCTTCATTTTCAAAAACTGCTGAGTAGACCCTGGACCCTCTGGGCCATTGGGAATGGCAGAACCTCCATTCCTGGGGCTGGGGGGTGGCAGGGCGGCAGGGCAGAACTTGGGGTGAGGGCAGCCTGGCCCCAACACTGGGCTGTGGCTGGAGCACTTTCAGGGATGAGTCTGCCTTTCCAAGACAACCTCGCTGTGGGGCTGTCCCTGTCCCCTCCCCACTGTGCTCCACCGAACTCTCCACTTGACTTCTGAGCTTTCTTCCTGGAGCTGTGGTCTGGTGGGGGGTGGGTGGGAGGCCCACCTTCAGTACAATAAATGTTGCACAGATGACACCCAGCCCAGCGAAGTCCCTCTCACCAGACCCCCGCCCCCACCCCGGGGCCTGGGGTCCTCAGCGCTGCTCCCTACAGGAGTGGGAGTGGGGCAGGTGTGAGGACAGGGCGCACAGACCCCTAGATGTGTTCTCCCTTTGGTCTTCTGGAGGCCAGAGCGGAGCTGGTGGCCCAAGGAGAGGGGCGGCTTCCTGTCCTATGAGCCCAGCGGTAGGGGTTGGTTTCATTCTCCTGCTTCAATCACCATGGAAACGGGAGCTCCGTCACAAACAGGGCTTGGTGTCTACAAGTCTCCTGACACCTGGGATTGCCTCGCACACACTTGTTTCCTGGCACTCCGTCTTCACGTCCTGCCCGCCCCTGTTTTGCTATAGAAGTTGAGATACTTGGGAGGAGAAGAAATGTGAATGCTGGCCATGTGAGCCACGGCACTGGAGCAGTGGCCGCCGTCATGGGGCCATGAAACCCTGCCCCTCCGCTGCCTTCGTGGGCCCTTGTGTGGCTCTGGGGGGTGCCCAGGCATTTTCTGGAGCCGCCAGCCTGTGTTCAGGCAGGCGTGGTCATAGCACCTTCTTAGGCTCTGAGGCTCCGGCACTGAACCCGGCTTGCCCTGTTTCCACGATGCTGCAGGCACCCACCAACATTCCCTGCTGGACGACCTGCCGCGTGATGAAAGCCACAGGAGTCAAGGCCAGTCTGTGGGGACACCAGAGCAGGTGACCTCGCGGGGAGCCCGCACCTGCCCCGCCCAGATTCTAGAAGCCTCTTAAGTGCAGTCAGATGTCACTTCTGGCCTTGGCAAAGTGAGAAGCTGGCCGGTGGGGGAGCACAGCTAGAGGTCCAGCTCAGCCCTTGGCTTGTTCCTCTGGGGCCTCAGGGTCCCCATCGTCGTGGTCCCCGGCATCCTTGCCAACTCCTCCATACTGGTTCTCCACAGAACCAGTAAGACCTGGTGTCTTTCCAAAGAGGAAAAGTCTGCCAAGCAGCACTTTCCAGCCACAGACCAGAGGGGACCCAGCCGCGTCTCACCCATTCCTTCCTGGTCCTGATAAAGGAACAGGACCAAAGAGGAAAGGGGACTTGCCCAGGCACACACGGCAAGTCCCTGAGGTTTTAACCCAACAGAGTCATGCAGGCTTGTTCCAAGGGATCCTAAGGAAATCCCCACAGAAACCCACATCCTCTCACACTGGAGATGTTCCACTCAGGGGTCCAGGGGCAGTGGCCAGAGAGGACTCAGTGCATCGTCAAAAATTGCCTTTGCCCTTCGGGCAGCCAGAGGGAAAGACTTTAATCCTGGCTAGGGGCTCGGCAGTCCCTAATGAGTCGGAGCAGAAAGATGTGTGGGTTCATTGGGCTGGGGCTGGGTATCAGGCAAACTCCTGCATCTCTCAGGTCCCCTGTACACCCTGAGTCCTAACAGGCAGTGACTGCAGGCACCAGGCCAGGTGGGGACTCCGATCTGAGGGCGGTGTCTCCTGGAGGGCAGGTTGAGAAGATAGGTGGGAGAGGCAGGAGTGCTCGGCCTCTGGAGTCAGCATTGGCACCGCCGACTGTGGGATACCGGGTACCTGGGGCTGGGAGGCACCGGTGCCACACTGCATCCTCAAAATACTGATGCTCGTCCACACTGGGCCACAGGCACTGGTCAGGGCCCCTCCTCCCCAAGCGTCTTTCCCTACGTGGGCCTTCTCAGGTCCTGGGGGTGGGGGACCCCTACTTCTTCCAAACCCAGAAGCTGCAGAGTTAGTAGTTAATACCTGGCCAGCGGGAGGGGGGCAGATGCTGCTCCCAGGGGTCTGTTCTGATTGGTCAGTGCTCAGGCTGGGCAGCTGGTGACATTTCTTGACCACCACTGCTCCCCAGAGGACTTTAGAGCCAGGACCCTCTGCAGAAAACCCCTCCCCACCCCCAGACTTTGGCCTCAGAGATGTCTCAACAGCATCACCAAACATTCAAAATCCTGAAAATGCTTCCGTTTCATGGGCAAGACCACGTGTGAGCTAGTGCTGGAGATCCGAGGCTAGGAGGTGAGATCCCGTGTTTCCCTCTGGGCCAGCCCCACTCATGACTTACTTGTTGGTCATGGGGTCACCTGCTGCTCCAGCGGCTGCTTTCCCCCCACCCCTTAAACCACAGCTTTCTTAGAGGTGTTTTTCCCCAACTTGCTTCTGCATGGGGAGTCACGGTATCCTGGGCTTCTGTCCAGCCGCTTCCTAGCAAATGTTTCTGCTTCCAGAAGAAGCCTCCTTGTGTTTGAATTCATGCATCATTAGGTGTCCCTGTGGGAAAGGAGCCTAAGAGGGGCTATGGGGCCCCTAGCACGGTGCGCTGGGGCAGCACTTGGAGAAAACATGCCCCGGGAGCTCTGCTCCCCCAGGGATCCAGGTGGCCAAGATGACCTAGAGAGGTGACTTTTGGTTGGCGCACTCTCCCTCGAGTGCGTCGCACTCAGTGCTGGGTGCTCATATCATCCTCACAACAACTTGTGAAGTTCTATTTTCAACCACATTCTTCTGATGAAGACATTTTGGCACAGAGAGGTTAAGTAACTTGCCCAAGATCACACAGCTGGTAGGGGGGCAAAGCCTGGATTGGAGCTTTTAACACCCCTCTGTACAGCACAGAGGGGCTGAGCCTCGTTGGAATGGATCTGGAAGGGCCTTCCTGATGTGCCGGAGGAGAGAAGGCACATGCAGAGCAGACGAGGGCAGCCTGACGTGAGGGTCAGTCCTCAGGCCCTATCCTGGGTGCTACCTAATTACGCCAAACAACCCTGCCAGTGTCACGTGGCTTCCGGAGCTCTCAAGTCCCCCCAAACCGGAAATCCACCGGCTTCCCAGTGAGCAAGCTGCCCTCCCATGGAGATGCCCCACTCTACAGGAATCCTAGAGGAAAAACAGGCAGGAAGGAGAAGGACCCTTAACAAGCACTAATCCTGGAGCTTTGGGTTAGGAAGGATTCTGAGGGCATATCTGGCCCCAAAGGAGACAGTCTCTGACTAGTAGAAGAACTGGTGGGCGCCTCTGTTTGCCATTGCTGGCCTAGTCCCTGTTTCACGGAGGGGGAACCAAGGCACAGAGGGAGATTAATTTTCCAACATAGTGCTGCTAATTAGGGCACCATAGCCACCAGCCGGGGCTGGCCCTGCACCCGTTGCAGCTTTGAGAACCGGGCTCTGACGGAATGAGCGCTTGGCGCCCCCTGTAGGTCAGTGTGCTCTCAGCCACGGAGCCACATCTGCGCACAGTTAAGGCAAATCCGCGGTCATTATGGTGGTGCATGTCTCTCCCACGGCTGGGCCGGTTGGGCAGGATGAGGGCAAACCCTAGGGCCACCCCGTGCCACCAGCAACCCCCTCTGGGCATTGTCGCAGACAGAGGCCCACATCATTCCATCAATGGGGCCCCTGATGGGTGCCAGGAACTGTACCAGGCCCAGGAATCAGGCCATCAGCAGGTTACCCAGGAATCGGAGTTAGTCAGATTTCCGCCCCCCGGCTTGTCCACAAGGAGCCAAGATCCAGTTTGTCCTGATTTTCCCTCTAACCAGGCTCAGGAGGGACTGCCTTGGCCCAGCCTCTGCTCTGAGGCCATAGGCAGAATGGAAGGCACAGGAGAGGGGGACCATTCTTGCCCTGCCCCTTGAGCTGCAGGTGGGACAAGGAAGCTTCAGGAGGAAGGGTCAAGCCCCACATCCCATTGCAGAACCGGAACGGGTGCACCCTGGTACTGGCCTCCCTGTTCTCCAGAGCACTTTGGACTGTCTGGAGATCCAGGCCTCCCCCACACTCTGCTCTTGGACACGAGCAAGCAGAGCATCTCTCCCCAGCTGCTCCTCCCTGCCCTTCCTTCCTTTGCATTGAGCTGCTGGTTCACAGTGTCCATCGTCAGATGTCACAGAGCTCTCTGGGCCACTCCTGGACTCCCCCACAGCCTCTGTGAGCTGCCCTCTGCCTGGACCCTGCCAGCATTTCATAGCCTGAGGACCATTCAACTCCATGACATCCAAGATGTGGAAACTGCAAAAGAAATGTCTTTATTCTTTTAACCTTCTTAATATTTACAAAAACCAAAACGAACAGAACTGAGATTGGCTTACACGGTGGGCAGCACGTGAACAGAGTGGCAGGAAGGCCAGGGCAGAGCCCCACCACCCAAGACCGGCCCAAGGACAGTGCGATGATCGGTCGGTCTCTGGTCTGGGTGGAGAGGGGCTGGCTGAGCCCAGCCCCGCAGCTCCCAAGGCTTCAGGAGCTGGCTTGGAGACTGCCTGCGAGGCCCCTGCCCCAAACCCATCCTCCCCCTCTCCTGGACATACACAAAAGGAAGGCTCCCACTGCCCAGCTCACTCTGCACAAGAAGTGCTCTCGGGAGGGGCCCCCAACATCTCTGCCGGCCAGAGGGGGGAGCCAGGGCCCTCTCAGCCCCGCTAGAGGTAGCCAAAAACATTGAAGATGGGCGGGGGCACAGCCGGCTTGGTAGGGATGGGCTTCAGAACCACGGGTCTGTACACTTTTTGCCCCGGCCCGTCCACATCCTTGCAGAAGTGGGCCAGCTCCCCAGGGGACGCTGGGCTTTTCCTCCACAGGCCCAGGCTGGGGACGGGGCTCTGAGGCAAGGCCCCTGGGGGGCCAGCGTAGATGGGCTGTCCATGGTACTGGAAGGGGCAGCAGCCCCAGGCATTGACACGGCCCACCAGGGAGACCCCAGACATCTTCAGTGGCTCCTTGCCAGCTGGTGCCCTTGGGGATGCAGGCACGGGGGCCATCTCAGGATCCAAGGGCTCCAAGCCTTTACAGTGTTTCTTACCCTCATAGGGAGATCCCTCCCTGGGACCCAACTCCCCCTCCAGCCCCAGGGAGTAGCTGTGGGTGGGCCGAGGCTCTTCCCAGAAGGAAGCGGGCAGCTGTCTTTTCCTCATGGGCACCTGGCCAGGCCTGGCAGCTTCTGGATTCTGCCTCTGTAAGGTCTGCTCCTTAGAGAGACATTCCTCCCTGTAGGGGTTCCCCAGAGCCTTCTCCTTGCAGCCCCCCACCACGCCAGGACTGGAATCATGGCCGGGATCGAGGAGCAGCCTCCCAGGCTGGTCCTCGGGTCCCCTTTTCAGGTGAGGCTCGGTGCCTCTGCCGGGGAGGCCCCGAGGAAGCCGGGAATACTTCTGGGAGAAGCGTTTGAGCTGCTTCTGCAGGTACTTGCGATGGTCCACGGAGCGGCGGCACGGCGCGGACTTGTCTAGGGCCGCCTTGATGTCACTGGACGCCAGGTTCACAAAGTTCAGGAGCATCTTCACGTCACTGTCGGATGCCATCACCAGGGGACCACGGCATGGGGCTTTCCATGAAGAGCGTGGGCTCTGCTGATAGCCGGCAGCTCCAGGGACAGGCACAGAGCTGACCTAGGGTGCAGGGGACATGCCGGTTGTTGGCAGTCTCTCCAAGCCCCCGAGCCCAACCCTCCCCAAAGGCCCCAGGACCCCTCCCAGGGAAACAAAGTCCTGGGTCCGTGGGCCACCCATTCAGGCCACTGAGGGTTTCCTCTGTGTCGGTGAGGGCACAGGCGAACAGGCAGTCTGCCCGAGTCTGTGGCCCTCTGCTTGCCGCTGAGGCTCAGAGAGGTTGGGCGACTCGCCCAAGGGGACCCAGCTACAGGTGGCATTGCTGGGGACCGAGCGCGAGTCTCCACGGGCCCAGCCCACCACGTCTCCCACACACCACGCTGCCAACGTGTACAAACTTGCCAGCAAGGTTTTTATTTTCTGAGCTCAGGCAACTGCTCCACTTTCAAGCAAGGCCAAGCCCCCTCTCTCCCTGGTGGTGCCCTCCTACTCCCACTCCCCGCCCCCAGCCTGGCTCACACCAGCCCCCCTCACCGGGTCCCCACGCTCCACCCACAGCGCTCACGCAGGACCCCTGTCTGGCATTCGAGCCTCGGCCTGCCTGGCGGGCTGATCTCAGACTGCAGGCAGCAGGACGCCCCCGTAGAAGCATCTGCAGCAATTTCATGCCTCCTGGGCCACCACCCGAGGCACCTCGCCCCTCCCCCAGGCCCCGGCCAGCCCCACGCCCCCACCCGGTCGGCTGGAGCCGCCGGAGCCTCCACACTGACCAAGGGTGCAGGCCGGCCCGGCCCCCCGCCGCCGCCGACGCCGCCGACGTGGCCTGGCAGGTTCCCCACCGCAGACCTGGGCCAGGCCCGGCGTGGCCGGCGAGCTCCGTGCGTCCGGCTGGAAACAGTCGTGCAGCCCTCGAGTGGGCTGGATGGAGGACGAGTCTCCGGAGCTGGGGGGCCCCTCAGGCCAATCAGGAGCGCCTCTCCAGATACAAAGCATCCCAATCAGGCGGCAGCGCCCCGTTCCCACATTCTTTGCCGTCACAAATTGTCACCATGGGGACCATCACAAAAAAGACAGCTCCCAAATGCAATCATTTCCCGGTAAATTTCTACCCTTCAGCCCCTCCTCCCCTTGACCTCGGTTCCCTGGTTTCTTGAGGGGGCAGTGTGTGTGTGTGTGTGTTTAAAAAGTCCAGGATCGAGGAGGGGCTGGACCCAGAAGAGATGGGCTTGCATACCTCCCCCAAAGGCTCCAGGCCTCCAGCCTCCAGCTGCCATGCTCCAGTGCGGACAGACAATCCGACGGGGTAAGCCGGGGCGGGCTGCTTCCCCCTCTGTCCTTGAGTGTTGAGTGTCTCTCCCTCTCTCTCTCCCCCTCTCTGCCCCTCTCTCTGTCTCTGTCTGTCTCTCCCTCTTCCCAGCCCCCGCTCCCCCCACCCCGAGGCACCAAGCCCGGGCCAGCCTGGGAGGGCCAGCAGCGCACTTATGCCGGGAAAGGTAGCCGGGGAAGGACTCAGTAACGAGGTGCCGGGATATCCATGGGAAGGGAGCCGGAGCTCTCAGGAATCTTGTCTTTATGTTTGCTTCCTCAATTGAGCTGCACAAAGCCTGAATTGCCCATTCAGCGCGGCCGGACAAAAGGCTGGCGTTGCACGGTCCCCTCGCATTTGTAGTCAAACAGTTAGGGACTTAAATCGAGTCGTCATGATGGAGAAAGAGGTGGACAAAGCCCATAGAATTGCCATCAGCAAACATTTTCCTGTGTCATATTAGCCAGTCTCCATGGCTCCCCCTGGCCTGGGGACAATGGCACAAGTTTGCACACTTGGCTACTGTCACCGTGCCAACGCCGGCGGGCTTGCAAGCGGGCCGCTCCGAGCAAGGGAGCCCTGAGCCGGCCGCTGGCCCTGCCCACTGACTGGCGGAGGGAAGGTGAGGCCGCGGTGCAGGGAGGGTGCTGGGGAATGCTGATGGGCGCCGCCTCCGTGGTGGCCCGCACCTCCTGCCTTTCTCCCCCCATGCTCTGCTCAGCCTCCGCTTTCCGGTCCTCTCCTTTCTCTTCCATTCTTCCTGCCCCCACTTGCTCCGCCACCTTCTCCTGACCACTGATGGTCTATACCCAACCACACCTCTGCATGACAATCTGAAATGCCAAGGACTCCTCTCCAGGTCGCCCGCCCATAAGGGAGCAGTAGCAGGGGCGGGACGCGCCGGGGACTCACCCAGGAGCATGGTCCCACCCTCTCCGGCCGGCCAATAGCGGCAATGGCCCCCGGCACACCTCGGCCTGGCTTCAAGGCGCCTCCCTCTCTGGCCTGAGGGTCCCTACAGGCACATGGGTTTGGAGGAGAGGGCCCTGTGCCCACCAGCTGTTAACTCAGTTGCAGCACTTGGGATCCAGTGCGACATTCTCCACTGAGGGAGCTAGGGGAGCGTGGCTGACACAGAGGTGTCCTCAGGCTGGAGCACCCTGGACCAAGGGCCATCCCAGGCCCTGGAGAGTGACCCCCATCTGCTGAGCAGTGGGACCCCTAAATCACGGTGGTTTTCAGCCCCTGAGATCTGGGGGTTGTCTCTGCGGCGGGACCTAGCCCAGCTGACCGGGAGGGTTGGGAAACATCCTTTTTGCTTCAAACCAGCCTTTACACAAGGCTGTGACCCGAGGTCACCGGCTTGGGCTCCCTGCTGCCTACGACCTGCGGGGCTGGGGGCACAGTTTGGCCAGGGTTCGAATCCCTCCATAACCCAGCGCCGGCCCACTCAACCCTGTTCTGCATCATTCTCTGCTGGGGCACCGGCCTCATCCCCGCCCGTTCCCACCTCAGCCTCCCGCATGCTCTGTGTCTGCTCACGCGCTGTGGCTGCGGGGCCTTGCTTCCTGCTGACGTCATCCCTCGCGGCTCAGACAAAGGTCGCGGCAAAGGTCGGTGAGCTCCGAGCGCTCCAAGTCCATATTGTAAAAAATCATTCCATAGCTCTTAATATGGGCTGTTCTTCTCAGATGTTCTTCCCGTGTATTAAGGAAGGAAGGAAGGAAGAAGGGAGGGTAGGAAGCCCTTAAGCCCCATACATGCCACGAGCTGCAATCATGGATCACACGAGGAAGATCCCACCTGACCCCGTGACAGCTCAGTACAGGGACTGTGGCTGCCACTTACGCACGAGGAGTGTGAGGTTGAACTGCTTTCCCAAGGCCTCACAGCCCGGAAGTGGCAACACTGAACTTGAAGCCAGGCCAGTCTGCATGTGAAGCCTGGGTTGGTCCCACCGTGCGTTGCTTCCCTGAGCGCCGACCCAGCACTAGACACTGATGAAGGGCTCTTGGGCTTGAAAGCATCGGAAACCAGATTTTATATGTCAGTCCTTCATGTCTTCCATCTGTCAGAGTGAGACTCTTCAGGTGTATGGAAGCTGCAGCTCGGGGACATCAGTCAAGGTGACAGGCAACAGCCGTGAAGAACTATGGCCTGAGACAGATCCATGGCCCTACAGTGACCTGGCCACACCTGAGCTCTGGGTGCCTGCCACCCAGGCTGCGGAAGGCTCCTCTGGGTTTTTCTGTCCATAGGTCATACCGGCAGGTGGGAGACATCCATAGTACCGACTCTGCCTTATTCTAGAAAGACTTCCTTTCACAGTGCTTCTCCCATATGGTCCTGCATCTGGACAGGGAGAGACTGTTTTCCTTGTGTACATTTGGTGACACACCCAGAGATAAGCTGCCCAGCTCAAGACTGACTTAGTCAACCCTGTCCTCTCGGCATTCTTCAAGGCCCAGCTCAAACATACCCTCCTCCAGGAAGCCTTCCATCAACTCCCAGCATTACCAGTGACACCCTCTCCCATCCCTATGTGCATAGATTCAAAATGAATTCTAACCTCCTTGGTTTAACACGGAAGCCCTCAGTAATCTGACCGTCAAACAGAGCCTGGCACAGAGTAGTTTCTCACTAAATGTTTCATGAGTTAAATATTTTGCCCATTCCACTGAATAGAATTTATCCTGCGGACTGGAAACACAGCTTCCTGCAGCTGTTTGTTTACTGTTTGCCCTACCTCCACCCCTGCACCTCCACCTGGGTGAGCTCCATGAGAGCAGGGCACAACAGCTGATTCATCTCTGTATGTCCGTGGACTAGAATGGCCGTGGCACAGATCAGGACTCATTCAAAGACACTTGTGATCGCTGTGGTTGAACTTGACCACGAATCCTCTGTGTTCCTTTGGGACTGTGGGTGACTTGAAAACAAGAAGACTCAGTTCACCACCGCATCTCCCTGCACCAGAGAGGGACTCCCAAGTATCCGTTAAAGTCAAGTGAGGGATGCTGGCTGACCTTGAGAGTCCTTCCTGATCCTCTACTGTCATAGGTACCGGTCTCTGACCTCCCAGCTGTGCGGACCCCTCCTCAAGATTATTTACATGATTCAGCATCAGGGACCCCCAGCTTCAAGCAATTCCATTCAGCACCTATCGCGTGCTTGGGGACCAGAGGGCGCGGCTTGCTCCTGTCCCCGAGGAAGCTCCCTGGAGGGGAGATCAACTCTGTTGTGACAACACAACAGCCATCTTCCGTCTCTCCATCACTGCGAGGCACACCCTAACTTTCCCTGGTTTCTCAAACGGCTGGGAACCATCATCCAGAATGTCTGGATGTCATCTGACATAACCCACTTCTAGAATTTAGCCAACACAGCTGCAGATCGTAACTGAGAGAGAGAGGGGACAGTTGACAATGATATGCACTGACCAGGAGGGGCGGCAGTGGGCTCTCAAGCTGCGTTTACGCAGAGAAACCCAATACCTAGAACAGCGACAAGGATGGGCTAGTTCAGATCTATTTCACACACGGGGAATGCATACTTCTGCTTATTTTGCAAACAGTGGCTTCCGATGAGAAGGAGGTTTTAATGACCTACGACTTTGGCATCAGGGGTCGTGGCTTACGGGTCTGGTATCCACCATCTTTGGCTTTGGTTGCAGAACCCATAGACATCTTGACTTAGATAAGCAGCTGGAATGGAAACTTGTTCGGTCTACCTTGCGATCTCAGGATCGTCATCCAGCGAAAACCGCTCACCCAGGAAACTTCATCATCTAGTCCCCCGAGGCGTCATTAACCGGTTAACTGCCCAGGTTTACCAGTCGCCAGCCTCGTGTGTTAGCCTGTGAGCTAGAACTCATTTGAGTATGTGTTTATTAGTACCGTGTTTAGAATATGGTATTTTAAGTTGCCAAAAATAACTTTGAAAGGAAACTTTACTTTTCCACACCTCGGTAGAAGAGCTCGGTTCCAGAAGATGGGCCATCTTCTCATTTTGGCAGCAGAGTCAACAAGGCCCAGGCTGGGGACATTGTTCACCCAAGACCGCTGAGCTGGGTAGGAGCAGGACGAAGATGGCAGCTCTGTCCCGCAGCCCGCCACCCAGTCAGAGCCCAGCCCTAGCCAGCACTCACCACTCCATCACTGGAGGTAACACCTACTAAGCCACTTGCTCAGGAGATAAGGAGACTAGTCTGAAGTCCTCTGGTCAGTAAACAGCAGAGCAGGGACTGGGATGCAGGCATCTAGGTCCAGACGCTTGATGGTGACTGTTGTACGGTACGGCTCCCTGATGGCCTAGGGGCTTCGCTAACCCAGAGACCCAGACGTGCCCCTCCCGACCCTGCAGAGTTAGGTCTGATCCCCTCAACCCAGGAAACATACAAATGCCACCTCAGAGGCCCAGTGGTGGGGCCAGCGCCTCCTGGACGTGTGACAGACATCACAAGGTGATTTATGTAACCCCCTTACATAACGGGAGCATTTCTATCAAAGAGTGGCCGGAGGGAAGCTGTCAACCATAATCAGAACAGACAGGCTTTCCACTGTCTCAGAATGGAAGGCATCAGGTTGAAATAAGCCCCTTTGGGGCTTCCTGGCCAGGGTCTTGCTGCCCTGGTGACCTCCCCTCACTGCCCAGGCTGAGCACCAGCCTGGCGGGACCCTCAGGGCAGCCGGAGACCTCAGGATGCTCCTGAAGAAGTCACAGCTCAGCTCGCCAGTCCCTGCACCCCCAGTCGCAGCCCGACCACAGTGACAAGTGTCAGTATGACTATCTTGAAGGCTTGCTGGCAGAGTGGACCATGAGGATTAAGAGAGAGCGTCTGTGACAAAGACTAGTACAGCCTGGCTCAGAGTTGATGCCCTTCCCCCAGCTCGTCCCCTCTGCGCTGGGGCCACAGCCGCCCAGGGCAGCCCAGCCTGGGTGCGTGCGTCTCACCCATAAAGAGGGGCTGATATGACAGGAATGACGCGGCAGTTGTGCCCCTGTGTCCCTGTTGGGCGACCCCCAGGGACCACCACCCTCTCCCACTGACCCCCCACTACTGTGCCATGCGTCCATCACCTGGACTGTATCTCCGGGAGCCTCTCTGGTGTGTCTCTTCACCCCACCCAGGGCACAGGCGGAATGAAAAGTCCGTTTAATCTCAACTGCCAACTCGGATTTGATTGGTGATGGCTGGCAGGTGCCTGGTGGGAAGATTCCGAGCCTCCCCCCTCCCACCCACCCTGACGGGACTCAACAGTTAGAATGCCCTGATCAGCTAGTCATGTCTTCCGTGGACACGGACATGGATGGAGATGGGCTGGGGGCCTGCACCCAGTTCCCAATCACAGGCTGCAAAGCCAGGGGTGCAAAGTTTGGCATTCTGGTAACCCAACCCCTGGAATTTTAATCAAGGGAACAGAGTCCTAGAAGAGGACGTGACTCCTCCAAGTCCTCCAGGGCTCCTATTTCCTGAACCAGAGATCCCGGACTCAGTTCAATGAACCAAGACCAGAGAATGGAGAATTTTGGAGAATGGAGACAGTAAGAAGTTTAGGACAACCGGGGGGAGACGTCGCCATGGGGAGGGGCCAGATAAAGTTAGGAAGAAAGGCCGAATACCCTTTGGATTTTTGCATGCAGGAGGCACATAATAAATGCTGTTGAACAGAGGAATGAACCAAACACAACAGGGAACAAAATGACTGGCTGGTTTCTGGACCACCATGGGGGCTCCTATAGCCAGTCACACAGTGTCCTGGGGACAGCAGATGCTTCTCGGCCCTCCTGGCCACTGCCGTCCCTCTGCATACACGACATGCTGGATCGTCAGGGAGGAGAGGAGTCCTCGCCTCCCCAAGCCTGGATTTCATAAGAGAAAGGTGATGGGGCAGGGTCCCCTCGAATATCATGATATGCCTAGTGCTTTAGATCTGCTATCTCATTTCCTCATTGGTAATAAATCAATGACTGAATACATAAAACTTTCTGGGAGGGGGGTGTCATCCTTCTCCTTTGACGGATTAAGAAACTGAAGCCAGGGGAGGTAGAAAAGCTCTCCCCTGACCACTGAGCGAGGTGGTAGAGGACCAGGGGTTTGGACTCAGTCTGTGCCTACACCACAGCACCCCTCAGAGAGGGCAGGGGACACATAGTCCCTTCTGGTGTGTCCCCTCTACCCACTCCCTGAGTCACCTGTACCAGTTCAGTAAAATATGGGGGGCTCCCTTTAATCATCTTTTTATTTCCTGACCTCTGATCACAACTGTGGTCTGTAGCCCAAATCCAGTCCAAAACACACATTTTAAAAATTCTCTGAATAAAGTCTTGCCGAGGGAGAGGGACGTCTGTACAATCAGCAGCTCCCAGGCTCCCCCACATGGTCCTGCTCAGGTAAGAAGAGTTACCACAGTGAAGTCAGCAGCCCCCTCCCCTCCACCTAAGCGGAGAGACTGAGCTCCACGGACCAGGGTCATCAAACATCACCCCCGTGGACTGCCTTCCAGTGCGTGGCACGTGGTATGTACTCCTTGGAGCATGCATGGACCCTGGAAACAGAGGCAATGAATATATCTTAAGAGTCAGGCCACAGCATTCCGGTCCTGCCTCTGTTAATCTGGGCAAATAATTTCACCTCTCTGGACCTTGTTCTTCTCATCTGTAAGATGGGGGCGATTCTACTTCCTCTGCCGGCTTGCTCGGACCGTGGAGAAAGACTTGGGTCTGACCAGACTGTAAGAAGTACCAAGGGGTGGTGGAGGGGGAGAGAGAAACACCCGTCGTGCCTAAGGGCTTGACCACATGTAGTTCCAAGTTCAAAGACGTCCGTCTGTGAGGGGCTGGCAATGACCGTTCCCATCAGACTCTGAATGAGGACCATTCAATGAGGATGATAAGGGGGATGGAAAGAGGGCCCCAGTTCCACAGGCTAAAGGATGAGGGATGTGGCTCTAGCTCTGCTGAGATGGAGTGAGGGAACTCTAGGGAGGGAAAGTGTAGGTGGAGGAGGGAGGGAAGAAGCATCAGATGTGGGCTTTCGGGCAGGTCCCCGCTTATCCTGTCCAGAGCAGGAAGCCAGGCAGTGGATGTGGGCTCAGCATGCGTCCAGTGAAGGCTGGAGTTGGGTCCTTGGCCACAGCTCTGGGATCGGGGGTGGGGGGGCCCTTCTCTTCTCTCCTGCACCCGCTGCCCAGAAAACCCCATGGATCACATGAACTTCTAGTCCATCATGATCATTCCCAGTTTCAATCTCCAGCCCAGACCTCTCCCCTCAACTCCAGGGTCCTACCCAGTAGCTCTCTTGCCATTTCTCCAAGGACCTTCAAGATTCTCCAGCTTTCATGTCCCAAACTGAGCTCTGGGATTTCTCCCCAAGTCTGCTCCTCCCACGGCTTTTCCATCTCAAGTAATGGTGGCTCTATCCTTCCTGGCGCTCAGGCCAGGCCTCAGAGTCATCCCTGACCCCACTCTCATCCTCCTCCATCAGCTCACCCTCCGGACTCTGCCTGCAAACGACCTCCAGAATCCGACCACTTCTCCCCAGCTCCCCTGCTCTACCATGGGCCCATCACCCACCATCTCTCACCTTACTTGCATGGTTTCAGGGCCTCCTAACTGGGCTCTTTGTCCCCCTCCCCACACACAGAAAAGTTTTGCCAATATTTGCCCTAGACATTTGTCCTGAATATAATGTTAATTCTCTTTTAAGATTTTATTTATTTATTTGACAGACAGAGATCACAAGTAGGCAGAGAGGCAGGCAGAGAGAGAGGGAGAAGCAGACTCCCTGCTGAGCAGAGAGCCCGATGCGGGACTCAATTCCAGGACCCTGAGATCATGACCTGAGCCGCAGGCAGAGGCTTAACCCACTGAGCCACCCAGGTGCCCATATAATGTTAATTTAAATATTAATTAACAGGAGCACTTGGATGGTTTAGTCAGTTAAGCATCCAACTCTTTTTTTTTTTAAGATTTTATTTATTTATTTGACAGACAGATCACAAGTAGGCAGAGAGGCAGGCAGAGAGAGAGAAGGGAGGAAGCAGGCTCCCTGCTGAGCAGAGAGCCCGATGCGGGGCTCCATCCCAGGACCCTGGGATCATGACTTGAGCCAAAGGCAGAGGCTTTAACCCACTGAGCCACCCAGGCGCCCCAGGCATCCAACTCTTGATTTCAGCTCAGGTCATGATCTCAGGGTTGTGAGATCGAGCCCCGCAGCAGGCTCCATGCTCCATGCAGAGTCTGCTGGAGACTCTCCCTCTCCCTCTCCCTCTGCCCCTCCCCCTGCTTGCACACTCTTGCTCTCTCTCTAAAATAAAGAAATAAATAGAATCTTTAAGAATAAATAAATAAATATTAATGAATAAAACCCAGGAGGACCCAAGTGAACATCGGAGAGTCACTATTTCCCCCTCCCCCTTCAATTCTGTCAAATTATCATCTCACTTGGATGGAACGTCCAGAATCTGGTCCAAAAGAAGAAAAGAGTACAAAACTTCAAGAGAGGGGCAGGCTTCTAACTCCCAGGGAGAGTATCCTGGAGGAGGGCAGGAAAGCATCTGACATAGCCTCATCCTCCCCTCCCGGCTCCCACCAGGCCCTGCCCCAGCCAGCCCCTAGGAGCTCCTGCCCAACACCCCACAGGGGGTGCTGCTGCTCTCTGAGACCAGTAAGTAGTAGCCAGGGCCTTACATGCTGCAGAGACACACACAGGAGCTCCAGGCTCTTCTCCAAATCCTCCAACTGTCCCATGGGGCTCCTCTGAATGACCCTGTTTCACAGAGGAGGAAACTGAGTCACACGACGATTTGCCCAGGTTCACTCGGCTAGGAACCGGCACACCTGAAATCTGAACCCAGGGCTGTCTGAGTTGGGAGTCTCCTTCCCTCTTCTCATTGGTTTCTTCCTGAGGACGAGTCCTACAGAGATGTGCCAGCCCAAGGAACAAGGGACAGAGTCATATATGAGCTTCTCAGACATGCCCAAATCATCCCACAAAG